ACTGATATAGAAAGAACTAGGATAAATAATTAGATGATAAAGAGTTCAGTATTGTTGAGGATACTGAATTAATTAGATGATATTGGTTTATAAAAAGATAATTGCTGGAATGGCTGATGATATAGAAGGATTTCTAATTAATTGAGCAATACGTATTACCCGTGCCGCTGTACGGCAGTGTGTGCGTGCACTGTAATCTAGGAACACTTCGAGAAGATCCGAAGGAGAGGCTTGAGGTTAGGACGCCGGACCGGGCGGGCGGCACGGCGGCCGGCGGGGAAACGCGGTTGACGACTGACAAGGGCGGCGGCGACTAGCGGAGGGTTTCTTGATCGGGAGAGGGATCTTTTTTTTCCTTGGGATCGAACGACAGATCGAAGCGTCGACATATTGCACGATTGAAATTTTTTTTTGAGAAGAGCGCGATTGATTTTTTTTTGTTCCATTGAGTTGCGGTAATGGGCTGAAGCCTTGTACGTGAAGCCTGGGGCTAATGTATGTATTTCAAATTCACAGGAGCTAGTTGGGCCACGCCTGGGGCTACAGCCCACTTGCCCCACTTCAGCTAACCACTTCAGCCCGCAGATCGCTGACTAAAACGAACACGAACCCTTAAAGAACTATTGAATCCGCGTTATTTATTACGCAATAAACCTTGCATTTTTTATGTTTTATATGAAAAAAAGTTTATCAAATTTTGAAAAAAATTCACGAATAGGAAAAGTTCACAGTTTCTTGAAAAATATCATCCAATTTGATAAGAAGAGTTCATCTATTAGAAAAAAGTTCACCAATTTAGAAAAAAGTTCACTTAGAAAAAAGCTAATAGAATTTAAAAAAAAAGTTCATCGAATGCAAAAAAAAGTCCATTGAATTTCGAAAAAAGTTCACCGAATTTGAAAAAGTTCATTGGTTCTCAAAAAAGTTCACCGAAGCTACAAATAAGTTCACCAATTTTTTAAAAGATCACAAAATTTGAAAAAAAAAGTTCATCTAATATGAAAAAATTTCACCGAAATTGAATAAGTTCATCGGTTTGAAAAAATGTTCACCGAAGCTATAAATAAGTTCACAATTTTTTTAAAAAGATCACAGAATTTGAAAAACAGTTCATTGATTTGAAAAAAAATGTTCACAAATTATAAAATATGTTCATCGAATGTCAGGAAAAGTTCATTGAATTTTAAAAAAGTTCATCAAATTTAAAGAAAGTTCGTGGAATTTGAAAAAAATCATCAAGTTGAAAAAGTTCATTGAATTTGTAAAAAAAACATCAATTGTTAAAAACAGTTCACTAAAAAAAGTTCATTGATCCTGAAAACAAAGTTTCATCATCGATTTGGAAAAAGTTCACGCATTTAAGAAAATAAAAAACATGAAAATCAATGAGGGAGGAAACCTGGAATTAGAAAAAAAAACAGAAAACGAAAATGGAAAAAGGACAAAGAATAAAAAGAAAACAGAGAAAGAAGGAATAAAGAACAAAAGAGTTGCAGATTAACCGATCCTGCTCGGTAGCGCGGTGGTTGTTTGAACGATGTTTGACGTGTGAGGTCGCCGGTTTGACTCCTGTCGAGTGCGCTCAATTTTTGTCAAATTGACATACGCAGTAACGGGTCGGCCCAGCACAGGGCGCTACAGCGCCAAAACGTATCAAGGTTGACAAAAGAAATGAAGAAACAATCCTTCGTTTATAGCTGACTAGTAATCTGGGCACGTTGGTAATTGTTGAATGTGTGCACACAAGGCTGCTTTTGGTTCAATTTTTACGAAGCCTGATTTGGGTTCAGATTTTAGTGCATACAAGCTGCTTTTCTGTTCAGTAAAACATGAATCAATCTTCTCCAGAAGAAATGAAGAAAGCAGAGATGAAAGGCCTCGGCCCGGCGGCTGCCTGTTTGACAATGGCGTGTCCCCTGATGGCGGCACTGACGGCTTAGGCCCGATGGATAGGTACGGGCAGGCGGTCCAGGCAGTGTCCATGATGGTCCAATGGCCCGACACCAACGGACGGCCATGCGGCTGTCCCTGACAGGTTCGACGGCGATGCGCGGTCCAGGCGGTGCCTCCGATGCTCCCCGCCGGTCAGCTAGGTGATCTAGGCGGTGTCCCCGACGCCGGTGTCCTTGAAGTTGCGATGGCGTCGCTACGGCCAAGGCCACGCAAAGGCAATGGGTAGACGCGGCACAGAGATGTGAGGGGCGGCATCCTTGAAGGTGCTGCGAGTCGAGGCGATGGGGACGGTGTGCGTCGCTGAAGCGAGGTGATGGGGCGGCGCTGGGGGCGGTTCGCTGTGGCAGATTCCTTTCATGTAAAAGGGTACTAAGGAAGAGGACCGCACGATGGTTCACTCTGCCAGTTTCCTCTCGGGTGAAAGGGTACGTAAGGAAGGGATCACACGACGCTTTGTTGTGGCAGTTTCCTTTCGTATGAAAGGGTACATAAGGAAGGTGATCGGGGAGAGAAAGGATTGATTAGCAGTAAACACGTTTAGCACTAAACGTGTTTAGTTGCTCACCATTAGGACAACAAGGACAGTCGAACTAACGCTAATGGATGATCGAGATCGGTTGGATCTGTCCCACTGGGTCTTTTTATATTGGTACAGATAATTCTGATCGTAGATGCCCCCAGGGCTACTCGGTTCTTCTTTTAATTCCTTTTCTTTCTGACGCAAGCTCTTTTAATTCCTTTTCTTCTTCTAATTCTTTTCCTTCTCCTGAGGCAAGGCTGAATTTATTGCTTCTTTTATTTCCTTTTCTTCGTGTGGCAATGCCGGATTTCCTTCTTTTATTTCTTCATAGGGGGCTTTTGCTATGATTATTAAGGCGGCTGAGCGCATCAACATCATCCCTAGCACTACAAGAGTAACCGGAGACTCCAACCGTGAGCACGTCAACGCGAAGAGATGAAGCCGCATATGACGAACCATGGGCTAGAAGGCGGTGCATTCACAGAGTTTCCTTGGGAGCAACACAACGGGCAATGAGAACTGCGACGACATCTTCAAGAAGGGAACGGGTTTCGCCGCCGCCGGTCCATCCGAAGATACAGTAGGTTTTCACTCCGGCCAACACTACCGCCACCAAACATCACACCCCGGCTGCCACACCGCCCACACGGCCATGGCCACCGTGCAGCACCGGTCGAGCCACATGCTCTGTCCATGAGCACCACACTACCACCATCAGGGTCGCCATCCCGGCATCCAAGACCTTGACACCACCACAGTCGAGACCCGCCGTTACCCCAACCAAAGAGACGAGCGGAAAAGACCCACCTTTCGCATCCCTGGATGGACCCCAGCGCCGAGACCCAGTAGGCCGGCCAAAACTGGCAACCATCGTCCCGTCCTGCCACACCGGGCGCGAGACATGCAAGGTCCTGCTGGGTGCGAGACCTACACGATTTGCGCATGACGTCAGACGCCGTGACGTCGCATGGTCGTTGTGGGGACATGCAGTTTCTATCATTGTGTGAAACAAATACTACTACCACATGTCATGGGCTGTCGAAGAGGAGGACCAAGATGATTTGTTGTTTTGCATCGTGTGGCCTGTTCATTGGGTGTTGGCCAATGCATTTGTTGCATTTCTGTTGTGAGGCTTCCATCATCATAATCCTGCTGCGTCGTGAGGACCAACGCTGCTCTCCACCTCAACAGAGGAAGAACATGAATCGATCTGACGCGTCGTTTTGCATCGTGTGCCCACATGGTCGTTGGGCGTTGGCCAAATGAATGCATTCAC